CGCCGAGAAGCACCGTGGACACGCGGGCTCGGATACTTCACCTCTCCCGCTTGCATTGCAGGAAATCGCGCCAACCCGGCGGCTGGCAAGTACCGAGGAGGCGCAGGCTGAGAAGCACCGCGCGAGTGCAGGCTGAGAAGCACTACGCGAGCGCAGGCTACGCTGCCTGTACCTGTCCACGTCCAGGAGCTTCTGCACGAGCTCCGGGGATTGCAAATAGCACACCCCGCGGTGCTTCACCAGGGTCCGCGCGGGTCGCGCATTCGCCTCGCCATCGGACACGTCGTCCTGGTCGCTTGCAGGGCCCGCGCAGTGCTCGGATACACGGTCCTCCGGCACTGCGCCAAACAGGCTCAGTTTGCGGCGGTGCTCGAGGTAATCTTTCTGCGCACAGACTACGCAGGCTGCCTCGCATCGGTGCACTGCCTCGTTGCCCGACAAGCGGTTGCCCTTGCTGCCCGGGTGGCAGAACTGCTGGAAGTGAGCAAAATTCTGCACCATGAACCTCTTTTCCTGGGCGGCTATCGGCCTGCAGCCAGCCTCCGCCATCAGGAACAGCACCCGTTTGCGGTATTCCGCCTCGCCCGCGTGGCCCCGCTGCTTGCGCCGCGCAAAGTCTTCCTCTGTAAGAAAGTCGCAGTCGCAGAGCTGGCACGCGAGCGGCCCCGTCATGACGGGGCGGTCGGAGAAGACGCGCAGCTGGCCCCCCTTCCACCTCGCCGCCGGGAACGTAGCAGCTCTTCCCCGCGGGGGCGGCCGACGCCTTGCGCACCCGCCCCGCGCACCGCTGCGCGAATTCCGTGCGTTGCACAGAGAGGCTGGACACAAGCTCCTTGTAGGCGGCAAGGCGCCGCAGGATTGCCTCGGTCCGGATGCCACTCTCGAGCATCAGCAGGTCCTGGTCGATCCTGTTCTGCGCCTCCTCAGCGAACCCTTCCATGGGGTTTGGAAGGCCCTCCGCCTCCGCGATGCGAGTCTTTGTTGTGGCTTCGCTCTCCGCTCGCTTGAAGGCCTGGAGCTCGGCGTCCTGCTCCGGGGAGAACTGGTTGGCCTTCCGCGCTTTCCGGACTTTCTCTGCCAGCTGCCGCTCTGCGAGGCCACGCCCGGCATACTCCTTCGGGTGGCGGCCGAGGTCTCGCACTTGCTGCATGAGCTCCTCGGTCTTGTCTCGCTTTTGCTGCATGAGCTCCTCGGTCTTCTGCTTCCGCTTGAGCTCCTCGGTCTCCGTCTGCTGATCAGCACAGCCCAGGGCCCGCAGTTCATGCAAAATGTCTTTGGGGATGCGGTCGCGATGGTCCGAGAAACGTTTGGCCAACTTGTTTTCGGCCCGTTCTTGTTCGGACGTTCCTTTATTTCGCTTCGGTATCCGGCCGAACTGCTTCACGTGCTCGACGAGCGTTTGCAGAGGACCGCTCAATGCAGCACGCTGAGGAGCAGCGCTGTTCCCTGCCGCAGGCTGAGGAGCACCGCTGTTCAATGCAGCAGGGTCAGGAGCACCGCCGCCAGACCGAGAAATATCAGCATGTCCTGGCATTAAGGTGTGCAGTAGGCGCTGCGCAGCTCCTTTGGAAGGAAATCTTCGAAAGCAGGGCTGTAGCCAAGAAGGCTACGGGGACGATGATGATGATGAAGATGATGAGTCTTGGAAGTCTGGGAAGTGGAACAGCACGAAGTGGCGCACAGTTGGCTCCGGGCATTCAAAATGTGGCCCGGGAGTGGAGTTCTGGGAACTGGAAGAACACGAAGTGGCCTACAGTTGGCTCCGGGCATTCAAAATGTGGCCCGGGAGTGGAGTTTTGGGAAGCCCAAGACACGAAGTGACCTACACTTGGCTCCGGGCATCCAAAATGTGGCCCGGGAATGGAGTTCTGGGAAGTCGAAGAGCACGAAGTGGCCTACAGTTGGCTCCGGGCATCCAAAATGTGGCCCGGGAATGGAGTTCTGGGAAGTCGAAAAGCACGAAAAGGCCTACAGTTGGCTCCGGGCATTCAAAATGTGGCCCGGGAATGGAATTCTGGGAGGTCGAAAAGCACGAAAGGTGTGAGTGTTTGCTTAAAACGAACCCGGCCCTCGCCTGTCCGGCTCCCGCCCAGACACCCCTGGGGAGCCATCAGATGCTTTCTTTTGACCCCATTAGAAACCTATCAGTCTTCGCTGTTAGGTAACAATACAAAGTGCACTCCTCTGCGAAATCTGGGTCATGCGCGGGCGCTCCACGATCCGTTTGCATTGGTGTTGACATAGGGGGCGGCGGGGGGGACACTCAGAGTGGCCGCCCTGCGCAGGCCCACGCTCCCTGACAAAAACCATACAAAGTTACAAAAGGCACGTTGCGGCAAAATCTGGATCATGCGCGGGCACCCCGCGATCACTTTGCACTGGTCTTGTTGACAGGGACGGCGGGGGGTCCTGATGTACTCAGCTCTGTGCTTCCGACGGGAGTCATGAACTCAGCGGGATCGCAGCACGCTGAGGCTTCCCTTCCCCTGCCGTGCACAAGAAGACATGCAGATGCCTGCCTGCTGCGCACAGAGGCAGTCCTGGCTACCCTCACCAGGCCCCAAGGGTGGCCCAGGGAGGGACGGGGTGCAGAAACGCGCGCCCGTCGTGCACCTTTCGGGCCCGCGGTGGCAGCGCAGGAGACAATAAAGTTAGAGCCCCTTATAAGGGCCACGTTCCTGCAGCATTCGACCCCCTCACGCTCCTTGCCCCCCCCACGCTGCCGTCCACCCGAAAGGCCTCGACGCCCCAACCCCGGGGCCTGGGGGCACGGAGCGGAGCGCTCCAGGGGGCGCCGCCGAAGGCGGCGCAGGCTGTTGAGAGCGCCCACCCCCTGGCCACCCCGTCCGGGGGCTGCCCGTCCCAGACGTGCGACGTCCTGTTTTTTCAAGCTTGACGGTCCCGAGGCCCGGCAAGGGCCCCAGGGGCCGAAAATTGCGAAAAGCTTCCCGCCCTGATTTTTTCACGGCGCGATCATCATTGGGGTGCGCACCCCTTGGCCCTGCCACGCACTCCGGGAGGCGACAACGTGGGGCGGGGACTCGACGTCCGATGCCTCGGGTTCTTCTGGGCGGGTGCACCTGGGAGGTCTGGTCCTGTACCCCCGGACAGGCTCCTCATCCCGAGGCGTCCCGCTGGCGGTCCCCGGGCAGGCGCAGGGCCACCAGAGCCCAGGGGCTCAGGCTGCGAGCCCAGCGGTGTAGCGTTCGAGCCCAGCGGCTCAGACTCTGCGCCAGCCACCGACGAAGGGCTCGCCTGTCAAAACTCAAAGCTGCCTGGGTTGAACTGCGAATGGGGCGGGGGAGCGGGTAAAGGACATCAGGCCTCGATGTCTTTCAGACAACACGTTCGCCTAAGAGCTCTGCACGGCGCGACCTGCACGGCGCGATCTCCTCCAACATCGGAACCTCGTCTTGGCCGCGTGGCCGTCAGACCTCGGGAGTGGGGCTGCCCTGGACTAGGACGGGGTCATAACTGGGTACGTACACCATCGTAAGCGCCATCCAGGGACCCAGGAGGCGACCGGTTAGGTTGCCACAGGGCTCCTCAACACCGACCCGCTGGTGTCACCTTCGGGAGGCGGCGACCTATGCCTCGGACATCTTCCGCACAAGCTCCGCCGTCATCCCATGAGGACCGAAGCGGGAAACGTTTTCCAGTCACTCGAAAACCGAGCTATGTTTGCACCCGCCGTGAGGCGGACAAACCGTGCCCCCCCTGGGAACGCACATTGGTGCTTGAATTCGGTTTGGTGCTTTCTGTCGGCACCAATGCTGACACAACATGGGGCCCACATTTACAAACATTACGGTCGCACATCATGCTTGGGTCCATCATTTGTCGTCCCCTCATGATGGGATGTCGGACCGACATGCGTTGACCTCTCCAGTCACGGTGCTACGAGGCAGAGGTGGCTGCCACAGGATATGCGCTACACGCATATCACCCACCATTACCAGGTGACAACATCGAACACCTATTTCAAGGGTGGGAGAGCCCAAGTGCCCCATCCGACTCAAAAGGGTTACGCCTACCCGTAAGGGCATATGCATTACACTGCAATCCTCCTCCTTCTCATCCTGCTCCTCCTCCCCCCGAAGCCAGTCGGAAGGGCGGGCCAGTTGTTTCGCCTGAGACTTCCTTACTATTATTATCCTGAGCTACAAGTTGGTAACCGCTTCGTAAATCAAGGATGGGTCGCTTCCACAATGTGGCTCTCTCGCGTTAGCGCCGCGCACATTCGTCTTACAAAATTGCAAGAGCTTCACGGATTGAGGGCGGGTCGTTTTCAAAATATGGCTCTCGCCTTCGTGACGCGCACATTTGTCTTTGAAATATGCAAGAGCGTCACGGATGGAGGGCAGGTAGTGTTCAACATGTGGCTCTCGTTTTAGCGCCGCGCACATTCGTCTTGAAGTTTGCAATCGTTTCACGGATTGAGAGCGGGTCCTCTTCAAAATGTGGCTGTCGCCTCAGCGCCGCGCACATTCGTCTTAAACAGGTAGCAGGAGTCACACGGATTCCCATGGCTAGCGTACCAGAAACGGTGTTTTGGAACGACTCTGGGCTGTCAGGTCGCAACAGTTACGTTGATGCGCTGCGTTGAAGTCCTAGGAATGGTGTACTGGCCCGGTTCAGGGTCGTCAAGACGCAACAGTCGGGCTGATTCATGCTGTTCCAAGCTCCAAGAATGCTGTTTTGGCACGCGTCAGGATATTATAACGGTTGTCTCTCAACGGGACACTTTCCTGAGTGGTAATGAACCCTTGTATGGGGTCTACGTATTAAGAGAAAGCTTGCAGGGTGGGCTGGTTCCAACATCGTTGATGAATATTGGGTTTACACTGGTCCTCTCCTCATCCTCCTCCTTCTCCTCCTACTACTACTCTTCCTCCTCCTCCTCCTCCTCCTCCTCCTCCTCCTCCTCCTCCTCCTCCTGCTCCTCCTCCTCACCTCCTCCTCATGAACCTCCATGTCCTCCCCCCTCGGACGGGGGGCGCCTGGCCAGGCCAGCAAGCGGCCAGGGCGCCACGATGGCTGCGCGGGAGATGCGCGCCCCGTGTTCCTGGCGGGGCGAGTGGCGGCGGGCGGGAGGGGCCTCCACGCGAGAGGGGCTCCACGTGGTACGGGAGGGGCTCTCTCTCTCTCTCTCTCTCTCTCTTTCCTCCTCCTCCTCCTCCTCCGCCTCCTCCTCCTCCTCCTCCCTCCTCCTCCCTCCTCCTCCTCCTCCTCCTCCTCTTCCTCCTCCACCTCCTCACCCTTCTCTTCTTATTAGGTTTAACCGTGCTCGTCCGAATATTCTTATGGTGAGTAGTAGCATGTTTAGTATTAGTATGATTGGTGATCTTATTATTACGAGTATGACCAGTATGATTCGCATTACGATTCGTATTCTTACTATTAGTATTACTAGCACCTGTATGTTTAGTAGTATCGGTATTGTTCGTAGTGGTCGTCCGATTCGTAGTTGTATAGTTATTCGTGTTAGTGTTAGCGCGATTGTGACTCGGTGCTGCTTTATTAGTATTGGTATGATGCATAATAGTAGCTTTATCTCTGTTAACATGGATACGGACGGGTAGTATGGATGCTACCAGTATATAACCCGTCGTAATCGCATTAGTATTAGTACGATTCCTCCTCCTCCTCCTCCTCTTTTTCCTCCTCCTCCTCCTCCTCTTATTCCTCCTCCTCCTCCGCCGCGGCCGCCGCCGTCTCCTCCTCCATCGTCCTCCTCCTCATCATCATCCTACACGTTTTCATCCTCCTTCTCCTCCTCCTCCTCCTCCTCCTCCTCATGAACCTCCCCATCCTCCTCCTACTCCTCCTTCTCCTCGTCCTCCTCCTGATGCCTCCTCCTCCTCCTCCCTCCTCCTCCTACTCCTCCTCCTCCTCTCCTCCTATCCTCCTCTCTCCTCCCTCCTCCTCCTCCTCCTCTCCTCCTCCTCCTCCTCCTCCTCCTCCTCCCCTCCTACGCCGCCCCTCTTCTTCTCCCTCGTCCTCGTCCTCGGCATCCTCCTCGTCCTCTTCCTCCTCCTCCTCCTCCTCATCCTCCCCCTCCTCCCCCTCCTCTTCCTCCTCTTCATCCTCCTCATTCTCCTGATTCCACCTGCCTCCTCCTGTCTCATCCTGTCTCATCCTGTCTCATCACGTGTCCTCCTCCTCCTCCTCCTCCTCCTCCTTCTCCTGTTTCCGCCTGCCTCCTCCTGTCTCATCATGTCTCATCACGCATCCTCCTCATCCTCATCCTCATCATCCTCCTCATTCTCCTCCTCCTCCTTCTCCTCCTCCTCTTCTTAGCTTCTTCCTCCCATTCATCTAGTCCCCCTCCACGAAGGGTAACCATTGGGGTGGGGATCGGTGGCCCGGGGATCGGGGATCGGGGGTCGAGGATCAGGAATCGAGGGTCGGGGATCAGGGATGGAGGATCGGGGTTCGGGGATCGAGGGTCGAGGACGAAGATCGAGGATCGGGGAGGGGAGGGGGAGGATCGAGGGTCGGGGATCGAGGATCGGGAATCGATGGTCGAGGCTCGAGGTTCGATGATCGAGGGTCGACGATCGGGGGTCGAGGATCCACGAGGATCGGAGATCGAGGCTTTTGAGTGTTCGAGGCTCTTTTCGGGCCCTGTGGAGGCCTCCAGATGCCTCCAAAGACATCCAGGGACCTCCGGAAGCCTCAGGGGGAGGAAGGGGAGAGGGAGGCTGGGAGGGAGGAGGGAGGAGGAAGACCACAATTCAGCCAGGACGCGCAAACGACACTGCAACACATCCTCCCGTCCCAAGCTCCCTCCTCATACACTACAGAGGTGCCCATCGAAAGACGCGCGCCCCGTGAGCCTGTCATTCAGGCGAGAGCCCCATCTTGAAACAGAACTATGAGGGAGGACAAGGGGAGGAGGAGGAGGAGGAGGAGGAGGAGGAGGAGGAGGAGGAGGAGGGCTTGTAAAGCGTAGAGGTAGAATCATAAAACTCACACCAATGTCCAGCGAGATCCCGCCTGGCTTTGGAAAGGAGCCGCCCTCCATCCACGCACATGCTGCGCGAGCAAATCTACACTTCATACGTGCTGAAGAAGTATCGTGCGAGAGCCCAATCTCGAGCAAAAACCGTCCCCCATCCAGGTTGCTGCTGTGGGATTATGGTACGCTTGTAAGCGACGCTGAAGTGTTATTCCAACTTTGGCAACTGCCCGCCCTCCACCCTTGAATGCGGCTAAGGAAAGTTATGGCGGCACGCGCGGCGTCGGAGCGAGAGCCACATGTTCAGAAGTGCACGCCATCCATCCTTGTCACGGCTCTAAGCTTTTCAGACGACTGCACGCGGCGTGAAGACGAGAGCCACACTGGAGAAAGGCCCGCCATCCTGAGAGAGGATGCGCGCGGCCCTGAGGCGAAGGCTGCATGTTGGAAACCACCCGCCCTCCATCCGTGCAGCTGTTGGACCACTCCAGATCCACGATCGTACCCGCTGAGGACGCCTCGGGCGAAACGCCCAGCCT